CCATGGTTTAGATTCTATATGACCATATTTTTAAAACCCCTCAAAACTGCTTTATACTTGAGCATGTGTCTTAATGTCATGTTTGTTTCTGCTCTGCTAGCTGGCACTCTGTTGTTAAATTTCAGAAAAAAGTGCTGTGGAGAGCAGATTAGCTATCAATCCAGATCAGCATTTTAACTGACACTGAATCAAAATAGAGCACCAAACTGCTGCACTGAAGTGCATGCTTTAATGGAAAATTGGTAGAAGTACCAGTTATTCAAATTACTTTTCCATTTTTTGAAATATTTTAATGGTCTAGTTGATAGAATTATAATGAATATTGATCACAGCCCTATATGGTATCTACATAGACATAGTCAAGCGAACTTTTCCATTGGTAATGACTTCAGGAGCTGAATAGACGGCCTTCTGATGAATACAAACAGCATTCAATACAAAATACTATATATATATGTGTGTGTGTGTGTGTGTGTGTGTGTGTGTGTGTGTGTATAATACAAATATGTTAATAGTAGTTAATAAAGCTTCAAATAAACAATATGGAATTGTAGAGTAGCAACTTTAGTGCACCACTGTTAGCTTAGCACTAACATACTAATACAAATCCTATGAGGGCATTTGCAGAAGTGAGCATTATCACAGAGGTGATTTTTTTTAGCATTTTAGTAGAGGTTTTGAAATTTACAGCCTGAACTGAAGGTCTAGCTGAGCTGTACTAATAATGTTTGGCCACTGAGTTATAATAACCATGTACAAGTACATCTTTTTTTAAAGTACATGGTAAAAGTAAATAGATTACTACTACAGCACAAAGTACACATCAGAACAATGCATGTTTACATGTTAATAATATAACAGTAAACAGTAATACTGCTTGTGATAATTGTAATATTACAGTTTTAGTGTTAGATATAGGAGGTAGGAGAAGTTCAGTAAAGAGTCTGTTTATTTTAACAATACCACAATAACACACACGAGCGCGCGCACACACACACACACACACACACACACACACACACACCCACACACAGACACACACACACACACACATCAGTCCATTCTCTTATTATCAACTCTGCCTACATCCTATGGGAACTTATCAGCTGAGTGAAAGGAAGGAGCGAAAGGAAGGTGCAGTTAACAATCACCATCACACTATTCCTGGAAAAAAAAAAATATATATATAAATATATAAAAAACACTGGCTCTATCAACAGAGAGTGCAAAAAGAATGTGTTGGGGAAACAGAAATACACTGTTGGAGAGGAGGAACATATCTCAAACAGCACATTGTGTACTGTGAACCATATACGCAAGGCAAACACACTCCATCACACTCACACAGCCAGCGTCACTTTTCATTGTTCCTGTCACCTGTGAGTGGCATGAAGTTCCTTTATCTATGCTGTTGTATAAGATTGATCTGATTGTTTTTAACCGAGACTAAGTGGATTCAGATGTAGGGCTGTTGTGTGTGAGTGGGTGAATGGGTGATGTGTGTGTTATGTGGGAGTGGGCCGGTAATGAAGTCGTCTGCTTTTACTCACTGCCTGAAAGCCCACACTGACGATCTCTAATGGAGTTAATTTACTTCATTACAAGAGCAGCCTCATCCTGAACTGTGTAGGTGACAAGTGGCCTAACTGTTTTGGAAGCCTAACAATAACAAACACAACAAAGAAAAGGTTATCTCTCACCCAAACACATACACAGGTTTGCATAACTGTCTTTGTGTGGTTTTTCATTGTGTGACTGTAGCTAAATGACACTGTGCTACATCTAAACCGGCCCAAATAATAACAAGCAATAATAAAACAGTCATTTGAGTTCAACTTTGAAAATGCATGTGGACCATCTAAATGCAGTCAGCGGCTCTGGAGAAGTGGGGCAAAAGTTCTCAAAAGTTTTGTGCATTTTGCTACATACTTGCAATCCAAACTACATACTAGCCAACAGTTACTGCATGAAGCTCTTTATTCTGTCCATCAGTCTGAAGGTTTTACTATAAAGAAGGGCTTATTAATTGAAGCCCTATTGAAACTGACGATAGATGCAGCAGGACGACACTGCAGTAATGACGGCACACAACTGTAGCAAAACTGACAGTAAAGTTGGAAACCAAAGGTTTTATTAATTTATTTAATTTATAAATTTTGAGTTTTATTTGTGTTTTTTCTGGAAAAAAAACACACGCTTAAGGGAAGTGACAGGCAGATAAGCAGTCTCATATTATTTAAATTCAATTCAATTCAATTTTATTGTTATTGTACAGCATAACAGTATACAGTATAACAAAACACTGTCAGGCTATGTCTCTGGTGCACTGATAAAAATAGATAAGAAAGTGAAAAGATAATAGACAAAAATATAAAGACAATAGGTGTATAGACAGTAAATACCTAATATGTGCATGAACAGTAACTGTAGGTCATGAGGTAGAGGTAGAATTATATACTATACTATAGTGCAAACCATAGTTAAGCGATAAATATTTTGTTTTTGAGCAATTTACAGCTTAGGTGTTTATAGTGTGCATTGACTTACAAGAGTACAGTATGGTGAGATAGACCGGGTCAGGTGTGCAAATTATTTTAAGTGTTTGTAAACAGCATCAATAGATGTTATATTCACAAAGTGTACAGTGCAGGTAAATGAGTATTAGCAGCTTAATGTTCAAGTAAACAGCTTACAGCATTAATGCTCAAGTATAGTGAGTTTACAACTTAAATGTTCAAGTATAGAGAGTTCCAGTTAAAAGTGCAATGTGCATACAGTCCCATGAGCCAGTGGAGCTCAGTGTGTAGATATAGAGTAAGGATCGAGGTTAAATCAGTAACAGTCTGTAGTGTGTGTTCATGTTCTGGTTAGCGTTGCTGGTGTGACCAGTTTAACAACACGTAGGTAAAAACTGTTCTTGAATCTGGTATGTTGGGTCAGAGGAGATGTTGTCCTCAGACTGAGATATCCTGTATGGGTGGGAGGGCAGTTGCGGTGATGTGCTGTGCAATTTCACTGCCATCTGCAGGGTCTTGTGTGATGCAACTTGTCAGGATGCTCTCCACAGTGAACATGTAGAAGCTGCAGAGGAGCTGTTGTGGCATGTTGACTCTCCTCAGTCTTTGGAGGAAATGGATGCATTGCTGAGCCTTTTTGATAATGTGTGATGTGTTGAGTGTCCAGCTGAGATGAACACCTTTCTTTAATCACAGACAGTGTCAAAATTAGCAACCAAAATCAACGTATTTCTGAAGCTTTTGAAGGGCTCCCCATCCAGAGACGGCCCTGCCTAGTCAATTACCTGAATTCAGCGCAATTTAATGCCCCTGAGTCGCTAGCTGTGTTTTCAATAGCCTACTACATACTCCTCATGCACTGATTGTATTCAATAGTAGTAAGCAGTATGCAGTATGTGACTAACATGAATTTCTCCAGTACGCCAAAGATACCCAGATGATGTACTGCTCTGGCCAAATATACCAGTGTGAATATTGAAAAAATGGTTATTTGAGGAAGACATAACCACTAACGATTTGTTCTGAACAATTTGATAGCCCTAGATTCAACCTTAAATGGATACATAAATGAAATGAAAGGAAATCATTTGTCCTGCTGCTGCTTGTGGTGTAAAGGTGAACCCCAATCAGCTTTCTCTGCCAGTTGTGAGGTGGGTTTACTTTGTGTATGTAAATGCAGCAGTTTTTGAATTTATTTTGAAATACACGCCTTTATTTTGAAACGAGTAAAAACAGGACGTAACTCCGTGAGCTTCACAGAGACCGAGGAGCACCTGTAGCGGTGATGTTACCTGCCAGTTTGTTTTTTCTTTTTATTACTCCATGCTTCGTGTCGTTTGCTACAGCCTTGTGAACGTGATGTTAGGAGAAGTGTAAGCTGAAGAATTGTATTTTTGACCGTGAAGATTGCCTCTGGGGAATGACTCTGCCGTTGGTTGAGAAGCAGGCTAAAGTGGTTAGTATTACTCTGAGTATTATTTTGGTACCAGCTACAATGCTAAGCAGTGCTATTTTTGTAATGATTACAATAACTAATGTTGTCTTTATTTTGTTTACTTGAACATTTAGTTCTACGGTGTTGATGTGGTGTCAATAAACATCTGTGAAAGGAACCGGAGTCTCGCATCCAATCAATGGGCGGCATAGCGTATTTAATAAAGTTAACTTACTTCATAGATAACATAGCTGAAACAGTAACTTAGTAAATTTAGTCTAAGCCAAACAATCTGCATAGGATCAGCTTTTCAGGCTCTATGGAGTCATGCTGCTTTTTATTCAGTCAAACTATCATATATTACCAACTACGAAAGTAATAAAAATGAAATGGTTCACCTCTTAGCAAATATCAGAACATAAATCACAAAGGTTTACCACAGACAAATGCAAAGTTGATATTTTTAAAGTTTATTTGTGGCTTTGGAGACGAGTAGAAAAAATGGCACATGGAATTTGACGTATATTGGATACTGTACTGTATACTACTACAAAGAGTAGCATGTTGTATACAGTACGTATGCAGTATACAGTACATAATGATGCAGTATTCATTATACAGTACAAACTGGTGCAGAATGCTGTGTGCAGTACAAACTGGTGCAGTACACAGTATATACTGGTATGTAGTATACAGTACATACTGGTGCAGTATGCAGTATACAGTACATACTGGTGCAGTGTGCAGTATACAGTACAAACTAGTGCAGTATGCAGTACATACTGGTATGCAGTATACAGTACATACTGGTGCAGTGTTCAGTATATAGTACAAACAGGTGCAGTATGCAGTATACAGTATGCTGTTTTAAACACAGCTGCTGACTCGAGTCCCCATTTCTACTAACAGGTGGCCTGTATGACGAATATAATCACAATAATAAGGCAGGACTTGTCAGAACTGTGCAATCTGTCAATCACACTCTTCCCACTCTTTGTGTGACTTACTAATTACAATAGCCACTGGGTAAATCTACTGATTGTTAAGAACTTCAGGAGGAAACGCAGTGCTGGATCCAGGCTTTATTGCTATTGACAGCAGTGTGCCTTTACAAACAGGAGAGACTCAGAGATGTGGATGCTGTAGGTAATACCGAGGCAGGCTGGACTCCACTGTGTCTGTTGGAGCTGTAATGATAAGTGAGAGAAGGGCAGAGAACATAGAGGGTCAGAGTCATGAACAATAAGATTAACATTCATACTCACCGCGAACAACACACACACATTGTCCTCGCAAGCCCCTCATGCTATGTGTGGACATAGATCTTGTGTGTGTGTGTGTGAGGGCAGGGTCTGAGGGTTAATGCTTTGTTTGGAGTTACTCCTCCTCAAGGGCACCTTGTGTGTGGATGGCAGTCACCAGGCTGACAGGGTCGTTTGTCATCTGGCTGGAAATGAATTTAGTCTGCAGCATCCAGCTGCTTAACCCACACACTCCCACAGACTCCCACACTTGCAGAACGCAGCCTGCGTCAAGCCTGCTGGGGAAACAAGAAGAAGACAGTGTTAGAGAAAATCATTCTCTTGCTCTGTGTGTGTGTGTACAGGAGCACTGTAGCTCTGCTCTTCTGTTTTAAGCAGACTATGACTTGTTAGCTCTCAGAGTGTGAGTCGTGTCACAGTGCACAGCTCAGGTTAATGATCTTCAACACAGTGTGTATCTCAGGCCGCAGTGTGATCCTTGCACGACACGGACACTTCACACCAATCTGCTGCTGGAAGCATTTCTGCTCGATTTGAGGTGGAGTGAACTGAAACTGAAGGGGGCTGACAAACACTGGCTCCAAGAACATTCGCCCAAATCTACAGTTGTGTGCACCCCGTTGTTTGAAGTGAAATGCAGTAAACACAACCTCTGCAGCAAACAAACATATTAAACATAACAAATAGCACCCCCTCCAGTTGTTAAGTCTTAAAACATAATTAATTCATCAGGCCTTGTTTGAACTCATTAGGCCTTATTTGTTCGCACTCACCAAAAGGGAGAAGCATTTGATGAAAAGAACACCTTGCCAACTGTTATTATGCTTTGGGGTTGTGTGGTAGCCAGTGGAACAGGTAGCACTGCATGGGTAGATGGAAGAATGAATGGCACTAAATATCAGCAAATTCTGGAAGCAAATATGATGTAGTCATTCAAGAAATGAAAGATGAAATGAGGCTGGTTTATACAACAGGACAATGATCCACACTATACGTCACAATCCACCATAAACTACTTCATGAAATCTATGCTGAAATGCATGCTAAAGCTTTGGGAATGACCTTTACAGTCACTTGAACACAGCTAAAAATCTTGAGGTAGATCTTAAACATGCATACAAGACAGCCTAAGAATGTTGGTAACACTTTCTTTGAAGGGTGTCTACATAACACATTCATATCACCTTACATAAACACTTCATAACATGTTCATGAATGCTTAAATCAACATCCATAAACTATACATGTTTTACATGATATTAATATGTACTACTATGTCATTTTACCGAAATATGTTTTTCAAAATAAAAGTCCTCGTTTTATTTATAATTTTCAGTGAAACTCCTCTTTTCTGGACTGTCAGCATAAAATGACCTGGCTTTATCCCTTTGGACAGAAAGTGTTTTGACACTTTTTGCCCAGACTTTCAACTTTTTTTTTTTTCTCAAGCATTTGTAATCAGCAATATGCTATTATTTCTGCTTTTTAAACTAATTATTCATATATAAAATGTACTGTTCATTCAACACTCTATAGGTAATTGTGGAAAATGTTACTTAAACTAAGTTTAAATTTCTTGGGGTAAATGCTAACACTGTTATCCCAATTACTTTGGAGGTTTTATTTTTAGTGATGTTCTTCCTCACTTACGGTTTCGGAGAAGGCACAAATATAACTGTGCATTGGTTATCCTGTGTAACTGAGGTTAAATGTGACAAGCACTGTTATCACAAGGAATCATTCCTTTTTTGGCATTACTTCAAAGTACAATCGAGTGGTGGCTCTTTGACTTTCCTCACTCAGGGTGCTGATCATTGTGTAAGAAATGTCCTTTATAAATTTGCCTTGCTTTGCCTTCACCATAAAAGTGATGGAAGTCACGTTATCCTGACTAAAGTGCATGTTACATGAATGGATGGATCTTGAATGGAATTGATTAGTATTATGGACCTGTCCCACCACCACACAAAGTTTGAGACTTTAAGTTGATTGACTGTTCATAGCATATTTATGAGTAATTCACTGTCCATATAGTAAAGTGACATGCAAGACAACATTCATAAGTGATTCAAAGCATTTTAAGGAGCTGTTAATATACCATATAGTAAAGTGACATGCAAAGCAACATTCATAAGTGATTCATAGCATTTTTAAGAGATGTTTACAGACCATGTGTATAAATAGTGACAGTGATTTACAATTAAATATCTACAATTATTTTCCCTACCTTTGCAGCAAGACCCAATGACTGTGAAATAGAGTCAATAAACACCACAAGTAGGAAGGTCCTTTTTTTTATTGGCAAGACCAGTGTTGAGAACAGGCACTTAAACATGCTGCTCAAAATCAAATCAGGAAACTACAAACTCTTCTGAACATGGAACTGCAAAATAGGCAAAAAATAAAATAATCCTCCTTTACAGTAAAATAAAGCTCTGCTGATCGTTCAACACAGTTTCAACTATGAACACTGTCTTAAATACTGGAGTTAATATAGCCTATATCTGCTAATTTACCCTTTAACCCTGCAGGCCTGCAGGCTTCTGGTCACAGCAGGACAGTCAACAGTCTTGCCCAGCTAGCTAGTTAGCTAACAAAAAAGCGAAGGGAAAAATTTAAGACAAACATCGGTAATTTGGATACGAATGGACTTGTATGAATTCATTATCACTCCAGTTGGTTTCCCGATATATTTAATCTGTAACGAGAACTATCATATACTGAAAAGTCGCGAGGCTGAAATCAGCTTCTCGTTCGCCAGCTTGTTTTTCGAATTTACCCGTTCCACCTTAAATGCTGCAGCAGTTACATTCTGGCACCTCAGGCGCCATTTAAGGTGGAACGGGTAAATCCGAACAAGAAGCTGGCGAACGAGAAGCGACTTCAGCCTATTTAATTGTAAATCACTGTCACTATTTATACACATGGTCTGTAAACATCTCTTAAAAATGCTATGAATCACTTATGAACGCTGCTTTGCATGTTACTTTACTATATGGTATATTAACAGCTCCTTAAAATGCTATAAATCACTTATGAATGTTGTCTTGCATGTCACTTTACTATATGGTCAGTGAATTACTCATAAATATGCTATGAACAGTCAATCAACTTAAAGTGTTTGTGTGGTGGTGGGACAGGTCCATAATACTTATCCATTCCATTCAAGATCCATCCATTCATGTAACATGAACTTTAGTGAGGATAACGTGACTTCCATCACTTTTATGGTGAAGGCAAAGCAAGGCAAATTTATAAAGGACATTTCTTACACAATGATCAGCACCCTGAGTGAGGAAAGTCAAAGAGCCACCACTCGATTGTACTTTGAAGTAATGCCAAAAAAGGAATGATTCCTTGTGATAACAGTGCTTGTCACATTTAACCTCAGTTACACAGGATAACCAATGCACAGTTATATTTGTGCCTTCTCCAAAACCGTAAGTGAGGAAGAACATCACTAAAAATAAAATCTCCAAAGTAATTGGGATAACAGTGTTAGCATTTACCCCAAGAAAGTTAAACTTAGTTTAAGTAACATTTTCCACAATAATGTATAGAGTGTTGAATGAACAGTACATTTTATATATGAATAATTCGCGTAAAAAAAGTAGAAAGAATAGCATATTGCAAAATAAACATGCTTGAGAATTTTTTTTTTTTTAAAAAGTTGAAAGTCTGGGCAAAAAGTGTCAACACACTTTCTGTCCAAAGGGATAAAGCCAGGTCATTTTATGCTGACAGTCCAGAAAAGAGGAGTTTCACTGAAAATTATAAATAAAATGAGGACTTTTATTTTGAAAAACATCTTTCGGTAAAATGACATAGTAGTCCATATTAACATTATGTAAAACATGTATAGTTTATGAATGTTGATTTAAGCATTCATGAATATGTTATTAAGTGTTTATGTAAGGTGATATGAATGTGTTATGTAGACACCCTTCAAGGAAAGTGTTACCAGAATGTTACAGAAGTAGAAGCGATCTGCAGGGAAGACTGGATGAAAATCAATAAAACAAGAACAGAAAGACTCCTAGCTGGCTGCAAAAAGCATTTGTAAACTGTGATATCTGCCAAAGAAGGTGTTACTGAGTACTTTTTAAATATTTTAAGTGTCACGCCTCCCGCCAGCTTAGCAAAGACTAATACTCCTCACTCCATTCAAAACTCTAACTCCCAGAATCCTCTGGGTGATCAAATAATCAAAGACACTCAACCATCCACCTTTTTATTGAGTGATTATTAGTTGTTGACACCTGTTCTAGCGCCTATATAACCTGTTTGTGTCCATAGCCTCATTGCGAAGTATTGTATCAGCCTACTGTGAAGTTTTCTCTTTTAGGGGCCTCTAGCTCATGTTCTCCCATTCTGATTTAGCGTAGCCTGCTTTGCCCCATGTGTCCATGTATGGACCCTTGCTTGTTTTTGTACTGTGATTCACAGAATGCTTAAAGGAATAATACGTTGTAGATGTATGTCAAATGATTCAAGATGTTCAATTATTAAGATTTATCATATTTATATTTTTATTTACATTAACATGTATGGCTTTTGGGAGACACTCTTATCCAGATTGAATCATGATACAGAGGTGGATGAATTGGGAGTTTTGCAGTAGAACACTCTCATTCAGTAACTACTATAAATGATTTGATAACCATTATGAAACATTTACTAACTGTTATGAAACTAGGTTATGTAGTTATAGAAGCGAAGAAGTGAATTCTGGACCCTAGAGTTACAAAATACAAAGGAAGAAAATTCATTTGTCATAAGAAAAAAAAGAGACATGCAAAGAAAAAAGATTCTAATTAGAGGCAGAGTTAAATAAATGTGTTTTTTTAAAGAAAGATTTTTTCTTCAAGTACTAAATGTTTCCATCAAAACGCTCACACACTGCAGCAAACTCGCTGTGAGGGCTGCAGAGGTCTTCACTGCACATTAATCATCATTTTTCTTGGCATTTGAGCTGAGTAATGTTGTAACGGAGGAAAGTAAAAACAAATAAAAGGAGAAAAAAAAGTCAAATGTCAGTGCTCTGGAAGAACGCAATCTTGTTTGCCATCTGTGTGTCTCTGTGAGCTGTGTGTGCAAACTGCTCCAGATGGAGTGATCAGTTCTACAGCGGTCAAATAGACAGCCAGAGACAAACTACACCTCCCTCTCTCTTTATCTCTCTCTCTTTCTCTCTCTCACACACACACAGTCTTGTCTTACATTCCTCGTGAGGACTTCCATAGGTTTCTATTGATTTTGTATTACTGTAGCCGAGTAATTCTACACCTACACCTAAATCTATTCCTAACCTTAACCTCAGTACCCAGAAGGCATTTTTTCTGCTCTTTTAAATTTAATAAAATAATAATTTGTAGTGAAAACAACACATGCAAAATGTTGTCACATGAGCAAATATGTCATGTTGTCTTATCATTGTGAGGACATGTAGTCCTCTCAGGTATAGCTAGACGTGTACACACAGACTTACCTTGTTTCTCCACCTTTCACCAACTGCCGTCACTCCATCATCCTCCCTGCTGTGAAGTGAGCAAGCAGGCCGAGACAGAGGAATAGAGAGAAAGGGGATAAAAAAGGGGACAAAAGAGAAAGACAGAGTGATAGTGAGAGAGCTAGATGAGATACAGACAGAAAGAGGAAACATGAAGAAAGAGAACAAGAGGGAGAGAATGAAGAGAGAGAGACAGAAAGAGAGGAGACAGAGGAGGATAGTGAGAGAGAGAAGAGGGGTAATGTAGAAAGACAGAAAGAGGGATAGGGCAGAATGAGAGGGAGAATGAAGAGAGAGAACAAGAAGGAGAGAGTGAAGAGACAGACAGTACTTGAAAGATGAGAGAGAGAACAAGAGGGAGAGAGTGAAGAGAGAGACATAAAGAGAGGAAACAGAGGAGGATAGTGAGAGAGAAGAGGGGGAATGAAGAAAGACAGAAAGAAAGAATAAGGGCAAGATGAGAGGGAGAAATAAGAGAGAGAACATGAGGGAGAGAGTGAAGAGACAAAACAGAAAGAGGAGAGAGAGAACAAGAGGGAGAGAGTGAAAAGAGAGACAGTAAGAACAGATAGAGAGAAGATAAAGGGAGAGACATAAAAGCAGGGAAAGACACAGGGAGAAAGAGAAGCAAGATTGAGAGGAATAGAGTGAAGAAATACGGAAAGATAGAAAAGAGAGACAGAAAGAGAGAAGAGAGATGGGGAGAGAAAGAGGGGAGAGAGAAAAAGAGGGAGAGTGGAGAGAGAGAGAGATAAAGAAAGATAAAGAAGGCAAGGAAAGGGAGAGGTGAGAGAGAAAGAAAGGAATGAGAATGAGAAGGAAAGAGTGAAGCGAGAAAAGGAATGAGAGAGAGAACAAGATTGAGAGTGAATAGAGATACAGAACGAGAGAGAGAGGGAGACAACAAGAGAGAGAGAGGAAGAGATAGAAGAGAAACGGAGAGAGTGAAGAGATGAAGAGAACAGAGAGAAAAAGAGAGAAAGAAAGAGAGAGACAGAGAGAGAGGTCAGAAGAATGTGAGGGAGGAGAAAGCACTCAGGCTAACAGCAGGAGATGTGATCAACAGCACTTTATTAAGTGAGGAAACATCCTGTTCATTATTGCTGTGACATAAACACTGCAAGAGTTCATTCAGTCATCCAGTTGCTCTAACTTACCCTTCACCCTCTCTCCCTCTCTCTCTCTCTCTCTTTCCCACCCACACGTCCTCGTTTATCTCTCTCTGTGATGGATCAAACTCATTATGCTGTAGACGGAGGTATTGAATAGCTGCCCCCTCTGAAGCGGCGCTATAATCATCCCCCATCGTTTCGGTGGCAAGGCCCTGCTGATCACCATCACATCCAGCGCCCACTTTCATTTAGCAGGGTGAGCGAGTGTGACGAACAAATCAATCTTTTATAAATGAAATTAAGCCCATGTGAGACACACACACCTAGGGGACTAATTAGCGTCAGAGTTTTATAGGTTATGGCCCGCGCATCCGTTTGAAGTTGAGTGTAAATCAGATAACAGGAGTGTGTTTTTTGTTCTAATGTGATGAGGGTAAACAAAGCGGTCTAATTATAGATTTATCTTAAGGGGAGCAAAAGTGGAACACTGGAATTTTCATTTACAAGGTTTGCAGGGGGTGTGTGCTTATGTTTATTCAGTTATACAGCCATGTGGAACAGTTTGGGCGCCCCTGGTTAAATAACACGTTTAGTTGATTTTCCAATAAGTTAAAACATTAAGAGTTCCAGTCCATAATGCTGCATATCCAGGTTTGTTGTTCCATATAAAAGACAAGGGTGCTCCCTCAAGCCTATGGCAAAAGGACTTTGGGATAAACACTAGAATATTTTGGAATAAGTAGGTAAATGGAGAACTGCCATTTTAAGGGTATTAATTCAGCCTGCAATAGATAAAGAGAGTCCAATGTTGAAGCTGTTGCTCTAGCTGTGCCAATAAAGGGAGGAAGTTTTCTGTAAAAAGCCTTGAATATTTTTCTGTACTGTGAACACCAAGTATGTTAGTTTATGACTTACTTTAAAATAGGGGAAAAGCTAAATGAATAGTTGCGGGCTGCAGGATTGATGACTTTTCTGTAGGTTAATTTTGTGTCCAAATAATCTTCTGAAGTCATCTAAAATTCTAAGATTCTACTTCTAGAGAAACAGAGGGATCAGAAAGATATATAAGAAGATCATCTGCGTAAAGAGAGTCCCCTGTGTTCCTGTCTTTCTCCAAAGACACCTGTTAACTGTGTACTTTGAAGCAGAGCATGTGCTAAGGGTCCAATGGCAACGACAAACATTACGAGTGAGAGGGGGCAGCCTTGTCTGGTGTCAAGAGAAACCTCTGTTGAATCACTCACTAACGAGTTCCAAATTGTCTCTAGCAGCAATATCAGCAAATAAAAAAGATCAAAATGCACAATGCCAAGCATCGCCACCACTGGAGCAGTGGAAACGCATTCTGTGGTGTGACAAATCACGCTTCTCTATCTGCCAGTCTGATGGACTAGGCGAGTTTGGCGAATGCCAGGAGAACGTTACCTGCCTGACTGCACCGTGCCAAGTGTAAAGTTTGGTGGAGGAGGGATAATGGTATGGGGTTGTTTTTCAGGGGTTGGCCTAGGACCCTTAGTTCCAGTAAAGGGAAGTCTTAATGCTTCAGCATACCAAGACATTTTGGACAACTGTATGCTTCCTTTTCTGTTCCAGCATGACTGTGGCCCAGCGTACAAAGCAAGGTCCACAAAGACACAGTTGGGTGAGTTTGGTGTGGAAGAACTTGACTGGCCCTCACAGAGCCCTGACCTCAACCCCATCAAACACCTTTGGGTTGAACTAGAACAGAGATTGTGACCCAGGCCCTTTCGTCCAACACCAGTGTCTGACCTCACAAAAGCTGTTATAGCTGCAGGGGACCAACTCCATATTAATACCTAAGGATTTAGAATGAGATGTCATGAAAGCTCCTATAGGTGTAATGTGTGGGTGTCCCAATACTATTGTCCATATAGTGTATTTTTCATGAAGCCAGTTTGGTCAGGGGAGATTATTTTAGGGAATATAGTCTCTAGACATGTGGTGAGGATTTTGGCTAAAAGTTTAACATCTACATTTAAGAGGGAGATGAAACGACAGGAACTACAATTATGAGGATATTTGTCTTTTTTAAGGATTAAATAGATAGACACATCTCATATAGACTGAGGGAGGCGGCCTACGTGAATGATTCATTGTACATAAACAATAGAATTGGTAAAAGCATTTCTGATTTTTTAATTAAATTAGTCTGGAAGGCCATCTGAGTCTGGATTTTTAATGCTTTTCATAGCTGAGATAGCCAAGCTACTTTATTTGGTGATAAAGGGCTATCTAAGTATTTAGCCGAATCTGAGCCTAGATCCTGGAATTAGATTCCCTGAATTCATTATTGATTTCTTGGGGGCCCAAGCGACTCCATTAAGCGACCTAGAATGACACAGAGGATTTCTTAAGCTGATGAGCGAGAAGCCTATTTGCCTTTTCACCAAACTCATAGCAGGCATGCTTTGATTTAAGTAACAGGTCTTCATTATTTATAGAAATAAGGCTAAATGAAATAGTCTTATGCATAAAAATAGTATCTCCCATTGGCCTACTGTCAAATAAAGAATATAAAACACTGAGCTACCGATTTCTTACATAGTTTAGTTTGGTCAGATACAGTCAGATGTGTTTCTTGTAGAAATGCACCATGAATATGTTAACTGTCAAGAAATTTTAAGCTTTGAGATGTGGCCCAGACCTTTTGCATTCCAGTTGCTAAATTAAATATAGTACCCATAACTCCATTTAACATTTAAAACATATCCTGTAACATCATGTACAGAAGCAGTGACACAAGTAGCATCAGTGAACAACATTATTTCATCTATTACAACATTTCAAAAAAAAGTAGAAGCAAACCCACCCATCCCAGCACCCCTCAGAAGTTTGTGCACAAAATGGCCCATCTGCGAACTCCCACAGATGATACTTATTCATCTCTTTTTATGCATTTGTCAATATCAAACCCAAATGCAACATCCAATGAGTCAAATACAGTCATTGAAAAACTACTGAGAAAGGAAAGGAAAACACATGAGTGATTCACAATCAAACTAAGAGAACGAGAACTGTGCTTATTCACTGCGATTGCATAGATTTTTAAAGAATGTTTTAATAAAGAATACCATGGTACTGTGGTTTAAAGTTGGCTGAGCTATAGAGACATAACTAGCGAAATAGACGTTAAAACAGTCTAGTTTCTCATTTGTCACATTATGCATGGAACCTGAGTTATGGGCCAATTCAGGGTAAAAAGGAAAATGTAATGCAAAGTAACATATTACCTTACATGACCGTGGAAGAATTCAATAACTAATCAGCCAAATCAGCAAGTAAACTGCTTTAAGCAGCTACAAGGAGTTATCAGCTCTGCTTCCATTGTTTACAGTGGTGGAAGTGGAAATGAAATCTATCGCACGTTAGGATTCATGAAGTGTTGTTCAACTCCATGAGGCAAACTGATCCAAAATTTCACTGTGTTTTAAAAAATGGACCTCTGGCAAGCACCAGGGATGCGTCCTCACCTTTCCAAAGGTTGCCCTTTGCTTGCTTCACTTGCTGTGAAATCTGGAAGATAAATACTGGCTTCCCATTATGGGTCAGCGCTCCAAGTTCATGAGCTCTGCGAAGAATTTGTTCTCAAATGTGATTAAAATGGACTCTACTGGTGAATAGCTGAGGCACTTGTCCTGGCTGTGATTGTAAAGATTGAAGGGTTCTGTCCAGGAGAGGTGTCTCATCTTGGTTAAGCAAATCGCTGAGAGAGCTAGAGATGAACTCAACCGGTCTATTGCTCTCTTCCCGTTCTGCAGTGCCTATAAAGCTCAGGTTGTTTCTCCTCTGATCTGTTCTCAAGGTCCTCACACTTTGCTTCCAGCCCTTCTACCTTGGCCTTGAGTATAGCCACTGTAGCCTTCACGTTGGTCAGAGTGTCACTTGAGACACAGAGTGTCTTTCAGCTGCTTGTTGTGTATGCTAAGTGATTGCTGCAAATTAGCCACAGCTGTTGCCAACTCGCCTCTAACAGCGGCTATACAGCATTTCCAATATTTG